CTGAAAGAAAGAAAGAAGGGGGAAGGGAATTAGCGTAAATGGTAGGATAAGACAGAACATGGTACCTTCATGTACCATTAAGATGTATTTCCCTCGACATGAATGGCAGGACATGGTACCTTCAGATCCAGCCAAAAGACTCTATGTCTGAAAGGCACGAGACGACACTCCAATGAAAATAATATATAGTTCTCAGGAAATCCACTCTGTAAAGGTTATCTGATAGTAATTCACAAAAAGGAGATAAAGAATCGGGAAGAGACACAGTTTAATGAATCATACTCTCGCCGCGCGCGCGCGCGTCACTGCTGTACTTCTGACGGCGACAAGTGCATTTAATGAATCACACTCTCGCCGTGTGTGTGTGTGTGTGTGTGTGTGTGTGTGTGTGTGTGTGTGTGTGTGTGTGTGTGTGAGAGAGAGAGAGAGAGAGAGAGAGAGAGAGAGAGAGAGAGAGAGAGAGAGAGAGAGAGAGAGAGAGAGAGAGAGAGAGAGAGAGAGAGAGAGAGAGGAGAGAGAGAGAGAGAAAGAGAGAGAGAGAGAGAGAGAGAGAGAGAGAGAGAGAGAGAGAGAGAGAGAGAGAGAGAGAGAGAGAGAGAGAGAAGAGAGAAGAGAGAGAAAGAGAGAAGAGAGAAGAGAGAGAGAGAGAGAGAGAGAGAGAGAGAGAGAGAGAGGAGAGAGAGAGAGAAGAGAGAGAAAGAGAGAGAGAGAGAGAGAAGAGAGAGAGAGAGAGAATGAGTGAGTGAGTAGGGTGCGTGCGCGTGCATGTGTACGTGTGCAGGCGTGCTTAGGTACATAAGCATGCGTGCAGGTAATACGAGTCCAGTGCATTATTTACCACTCCGACAGGCGGGGCAAGTTATTTCTTTATATACCTTTGACATCTGGTCAAAACACAATATTACAGTACATCTCACGGTCACTAAAAGAAATAAAATAAAATAAATAAATGTCTTCTCATGGTCTATGGGAACTGCAGAGGATATTTTCTTCTTGTGTAAAATGATTATGCTTTTTACTAGAACTTTCAGGTCTTTGACAGCTTTTCAAACCGGTCATTTCTGTTGTACATGAGGTTTTGTTATGGACGGACCCAAGCAACAGGTATTCAAAAGTTTATATCCGCTCAGTGCGTGCTATTTGTTGGTCGTGCTGGTCTATCATACAGCGAGATGCCAACACGCCACCTGTACAAAATCTATAACTTTTTTCCTTCTATAACACGGTTCTCCTTCGCGACGTGTGTTTATTTTGATATCACGTATAGCCTTTGAAGCAACTTTGTCGGGGACCTTGGCGAAATCCCAGGAATCGCAGAAAAGCAGCAAGTTAGTCCCGGGCTTTGATTCACGAAGGACTCCGTGGCTGGAAGTAATCCTGTCGACTTACTAGTACGTTGTATAGTGCTGGTTCAAGCAGGAAACTTTCCTTATTTTTTCCTGCGTAGCATAAGTACGGATCTAACAATGCAGTGTTCATAAACAGTACAGTGTACACAACTTCAGGACATTGCAACATCAATTTATTAATTCACTTCTAGAATTGTTCCGATGATTTTTATCCTTGGGTGATGCCAATTCAGCTCAGCGACTTTGACCAAATCCAATAACATAGAAGCATGTCCTGGCGGGCTGCGAGAGAGCGCTGTAGTGAAGACTTTTATCAGTCCGCCTAAGATCTTTAACTATTTCTCCATGTATCCGCTGTAGGTCTTCGAGGCTTCATAATCTGCATGAATTGTTCTCGGTGCTAAATACAGCTAACGTTCGTCTATTAAAATGTGGCAAAGTTTATCCGCAGACTTCACACCGCCGCTGAACCTCCTTTTAAATTTCTCCTCTACTTGTGCTGCTGGAACCACGGCGCGCCTGAGTGTAAAGATACACATCTACCAACATAAAACACATATTCTCCAGACGTAAATCAGAAATAAACACACGTCTTCCCGTCTTCACGAGTCTGCATACTTATTTCATCAATCCAATCAATGTAATTTCCTACTCTCGCTACTGCATTCGGCCAAAAAGACGAAGGGGATGTTTGAAGAGAGAAAAGAATGGGAACCTAAGACAGAAGTAAAGAAAGCAGAAGAACAGGCGAGAACAGCAATAATCAAAATACGCAAATGACGGAAATGATATGATAGCGAAGAGTAACGATGACGGCGATAATGATGGTATTCACAGCATGGCAATAACAATAATTACAACAAGAACAATGGCAATGATGATAAACAATAAAAACAACAATAATAATAACAATAACAACAACAATGATAATGCTAATAAATAATAATGGTGCTAATAAATAATAATGATAATAACAACAACAATAACAACAATAAACCAACAACGTTAGAGGAAGGAGCGCTGAGCCCCGGGACCCCCCACGCCGGCGCTGCGGTCGAGGCTGCCTTCCACACCTCATTAGTTTCTACTCAAAAAAAAAAGTAAAAAGGCTTGGTCAATATTTTTTTCTGTTCTTTTAACTTTACGAAAAAATGGAATGTAAAAAAGGCCAGGTCAATATATATATTTTTTTCTGTTAATTACTTTTCGTTTAGTTTTCCGCGTCAATATTTTTTTTCTTTTCTGTTCTTTTACTTTTCGTTTTGTTATCTGTTTATATTCCACCGTAATTTGTATTTTTTCATTTCTTTTCTGTTTGCATTTCGGTTATTTATTGTTTGCCTTTTTTGTCTTTCTTTCTTCTCTGTTCATATCTTGTTATTCATCATTTAAGTTCCGTCTCTTTCTTCTTTCTTTTCTTTTAATTTTGTATCTATTGATCATTATGATTTTTTTTGTTCTTGTCCTTCATGTTGTGCTTTTTAATTTGATCTTATCTCCGTCTCCCTCCTCGTTCTTCCGTGCTCTTCATTACGCAGGCAATACAAAAGAAGATCAGAGATAATTATCGCTCGCTCCTCGCTCCCCCCCCCCATCTCTCTCTCTCTCTCTCTCTCTCTCTCTCTCTCTTCTCTCTCTTCTCTCTCTCTCTCTCTCTCTCTCTCTCTCTCTCTCTCTTCTCTCTCTCTCTCTCTCTCTCCCTCTCTTCTGTATTATAGATATGTGTATGTGTGTGTGTGCGTATGTAATGTATATTATGTATATATTATTCAGGCCAAGTACACGCGCCCAGTGTGTGTGGCGTGGCGCATCCTCGCATCTGTCTGATGTGCGTGCGTTCGTTCGTGTGTGCGCAAGTGTATGTACATAGAACCAGACCTAACACTCCACACTCAAGGGCCCCCCCCCCAATCTCTCGCAGCCCCTCGTTCACTTCCCAATGACGGTGGTTTTCTGGAACTTGCACTTCATTAAATCCCCCTTTAGGTCTGTGTACGTATTCTAGGTCTACATGCCATGTATGTCATCTATGTAATGCACATGAGTATATCCATGCTCGTATTTGTGTGTCCTTGACTGTGTGTCTACCCGTCCGCGGCTCTATATAATACAAATGTTTGATGCATACATACCTGCATGTACCTATATATATACCTATATATATATATTATATATATATATATATATTATATATATAATATATATTATATATATAAAATCTACCTTTAATCAATCTACTACTACCTCCAGTACGACCTCCCCCCCCCCCCCATGTCAGTGATCCATATGTCGTCACACCCAGGTCAGTAACAAGGCTCGGATCGGCTTAGGTCGTCGGGTCGGGTCGGGTCGGGTCGGGTCGGGTCGGCGGGTGTCATTGCGTGTGAAGTGCGGATTAGTCAATCGACTTTCCATTAGGCTGTGGTGCACTTCCTAATGAAACAGCGGTATGTGCGCGTGTGCGTGCTGTGTGCGTGTTGTGTGTGCGTGTGTGTGTGCGTGCGTGTTAGTGTTGTTGAGTGCGGAGAGTGTGCGAGAGTGCGAGAGAGCGAGAGAGAGAGAGAGAGAGAGAGAGAGAGAGAGAGAGAGAGAGAGAGAGAGAGAGAGAGAGAGAGATAGAGAGAGAGAGAGAGAGAGATGGGAGGAAAGAGAGAGAGAGAGGAGGGGGGGGGGGGGAGAGAGAGGGGGAGAGAAGAGAGAGAGAGGGGGGAAAGAAGAGAGAGAGAGAGAGAGAGAGAGAGAGAGAGAGAGAGAGAGAGAGAAAGAGAAGAGAGAGGAGAGAGAGATGAGAGAGAGAGAGAGAGAGAGAGTGAGAGTGAGTGAGTGTACGTGTGAGTGTCCATGTGCATGTGCATGTGCTTGTGTGCGTGTGTGTCAGCGTGTCTCATTTCCAAGGTAATCCATTAGCTGCTTCAGTTAGGTGACTAAAACTCATGACGAAATGGAAGGGAAGCCGTAGCGCATGCCATCCGCAGACACAAAACAGGCATTAACACCTAAGTGACTTTGGCAATGATTAAATAATCTGATGCACTTCTGACGGGCGGTGGTCATTTCTGAACGAAGGGAGGGAGAGAGAGAGAGAGGGAGAGAGGGAGGAGGGAGGAGGGAGGAGGAGGGAGGAAAGAGAGGGGGAGAGAGGAAGAGAGAGAGAGTGATTTATCCATTTAAGTATGTATGTAGATATGTAAATAAACTGACTACATACTCGTGCACGCAAGAAACTATGCATAAAAACCACAGAAACAAACACACAACACACAAACTAAACGAACGCAACAAAAACAAAAATCCTTCTCTACCCCTTCCCTTCCCCTTCCCCTTCCCCCTTCCCTCCCCGAATCTAGCTGAGTGCGCCCACCCCCCCGCACCCCTATCCGCTTTCATCGCAACAGAACCCGATCAGGGGCGGCGATAGAGAGCTGACTCGCGGAGGAAAACGCGGGCGAAATATCTGTTAGCGGACATTAAAGGACGCTGTGTTCGCCTCGCTGATCACGGAGGGAGAGGGAGGGAGTATGGGAAGGAGGAAGCGGCGAGGAGGGACATGAGGGAAGGAAGGAGAATGGAAGGGGAGGACGGGTGGGAAGGAGCGGGAAGGCGCCTTGAAGATGTTTTCTCAGCAGAGAGAGGATAGAGGGAAGGAGGAGA